GCTGTGCAGGCTGTCACAGCAAACTTTGTTTGCGAGGACCTATTGAGAGCAGCAGCAGCTCACTGCTCGCAAAACACACGCAAACGCGATTATACGTACGTATAAGTGCACAGGAATCCTCCCGGAATGCACAAAAAATAGTACTTATTGTCTTTTATGAGATTCCCATACACGTTTACTCTAAAATCCTTCAAATTCCTCAAGGTTTGATTGCGTTTTTTTATTGCCAACTGTTAAACACTTCACGTGGCCGCCTTTGCCGTAGAATTTCACATAGCTTGGCACGGGACAATAAATCCTAAAATTAAACCAACTGTGGGACGGGGAAAATGTGTTCCGAGATTCCACTCAAAACCGAGAGATTTTCGCAGTCAGGGACCAAAGCCCCAAGGCAAACATCATTATAGAATTCTTAAGAAGAAGAAAAAAACTGGCGGGAGATTTTTTTTTTTCAAAGAAAACATCATATTTAATTGTTGAACTTTGACAAAAATGGAAGTGGATTTTTGCTTCAAAGCGAATCTGTTGGGCCGGTGATTTTCAGGATTTTTTTTCTGCAATCCTCGTGGTTTTCGAAGCCGAATTCCAAACGTTACAGGTATGACCCCTGGAGTCAGTAGTTCATGTCCACAGAAGCTGCACAATCCCTCTCCCCACCCACCCACCCCGACCACCGCCTCTCTCTCCATCTCTGGTTTTCCCCTTCTCAAAATGTTCATCGAATTTCAACTCGATGCTTACAAAACCGCAACTTGGTTAAAATCTAAAAACAACGATGCAAGCCTCACGGGTTATACTTCATTTTTGCCGGAAAGAAACGGCCACCATCGAGACAACAACAACAGTTATCTTATACATTTATACGGCCAACAATTTGTCCGTCCCTTCATCTATTATCGCTCCACCTCGTGATTGGCTGCAAGGATGTCAAATTGGCTAAACCTTCGTTACCACGTCGCCGATGGCAACGCCCATACACCGCAATCAATAAGTGGCGACCGACACAAAATTACTTGGCTGGAAATTCAGCAATGAAAACTGATTCATCTCCATCAAGGTTACACATGCACCGTTGTTATTTTAAACGGTTTCTGGGCAATCAGGGTTGGACGTGGTGCTCTCCGAGGGGGAGACGGAGACAAGGACGAGGAGGACAAGACGCTAGTGCTGACTCGCCCGTACGGAACATCGGTAACAAAAAATAACTTCACAGCCCATGGGATTCCTCCAGTCGCAATAAAGATTCGGATTCTGAAAGATTCTGAAGGATCATTACGGCGTTAAAATAGCCACGACGAGTTAGCAGGTTTGAAAGCGATGGCCGATGAGGTGGCTGCGAGAGACTGAACTGTAAAGTGCCACCAATAAAGTGCGGTATGCACACGAGTGCGGGCAGAGTTACAGGCCATATTGAAGTTGTATCATGACATCAGAAAGAGAGGGGGGAGGGGGTGGAAGTCACACCAATGGAACATCACACATTGATGCCCCCAACTTTGCGAACTGATCACAGCGACAGACGAGCTATGTAGTTGATCGTGCTGGCAGCGGTGCAAACACAAACAAACAGCTCAACACATTCACGTCTATTTCCATTTTGAGGCAGCGTTACTGACGAACGCTTCGAGTCTTTTGATACTAGAGACCAGCTGAAGATTTAAAAAAACAATTTGGCTGTCAGGCGACAAACATTATTCTCAGCGGCAGACTGGGCAGGGGGGAGAGCGCTGCCCCCCTAACTGTGTGGAACGGAGGTCAATTGAAGCGATCTCAAGAGGTAGTTCCGTGATGTCCGCTTCCGCAGGCCATTTTTCAATCACAGAGGGCAGCACCGCTCTGTGAGAAATCCCAGTGGATTCTCCGTCTCATGGCGCGACGCCGAGAGCAAAGTAAGGGTGACACGGGGGGGGGGGGGGGGGGGGGGGATGCGTGTGTTTTATTGTGGACAACTATAGAGGGAAATCCAGAATGCGAACAGTTGTGAGATTCGGAGTCATGAAAATCTCGACTGTAGCATATTGAGTTTGATGCAGAGGATGCGACGGAGCAACAACAAAAGAGCACTATCAAGTGTGAGATTGCGCACGCATTAGTTCTAGCCTTTTAAAAACAAGGCCTCCCATATAAATGTGTGCGCACGTCGTGACAAGCGGTGGAGGTTATCGCTCCCGCTTATGTGGTATGTAGGGTTTGTCGAGAAACATTTCATTTACATTGCATTAAAAGGTTTTTACGCTGTAAATAACGGCGTAATATTCCAGGTTGACTTTAATTTCTAATAAATGGATAATATTTACATGCACGCGAGATCATTTTAACTCCAGCCCGGTGATGGTTAGGGCACTTGGAAACCTGCAATTGGAAAGTTGCAAGTTCAAATCCCAGCCGGGTGCCAACTCAGCCCGTCTCTCTCTATGGCCAACAAAATGAGTACGACCTTCGTGTAAAGCCGAGAGTGGTTGTCCTCTCCAAAAAACTCGTATTGCACGGCATTGTGAAGAACACATCGGGTGTAGGAAACTTGCTCCATTTAACTTTTATTGGCTAGAAAGGTCGGGATCAACCTTTACATTTAAACCACAAATACCGCTTCTGGCACCACGTACGCGACCATCACCCCCCCCCCCCCCCCTCCTGGCTAGAGCAATTTCACGGCCGATACTCAACCTTCAACGTCCGCTCTGAGTTCCATCACCATCATCATGATCGTCGCCACCACCACCCATGGCGGCTGCATCTCCCTCTTAGTCGTAGCCCCGTGGACTGCCACACCACAAGTGCCCGTCGCGCTGAAACTTGCCCTCCTCCACTCTCGACACGCAACCCCCACTCACATCAAGCCTACCCCCTTGTTACCCAAACTTTCTTTACAAATTCTACTCCAGACGAAGGCAACTCTGTTGAGAATGCTAAAGGGCGGTGGGAGACAAGGCCTGGGTACAGCCTGCCTCGCTTGGCTGCCCCCTCTTTTTTACCCAAAGGCTCAGCAGTGTGCGTAAGGAATTGCCTTGAATTTTCTTTTTTTACTCCATCAAATACATTCGCCAATGTTCACCACATCCATCTGACAGTCAAAATAACTCTTAATAACATTGGGAGGGGGGGTGGCGGAGGGGGAAGGAAGCTCAGTCCCATTGAGGAAACAACTAAGTATTGAGATGTCAATTTGAAGACGCTAAATGTGGTATTTTTCAGCTCAACTTTAGCATTTTCACTTGAATGAAGCCATTAAAAGTTTTCAAGAGGTTGTGAATTATCATGAAAAGCTCACGGACACGCAGGGAAATGGATTTTTTTCGTCACAAAACAACCTTGAGAAAATTGAATGGAAAAAAAATACCCCATGTTATATTATCATTCTGTACATTTTGTGCAGGTAATAAAATGCAATTTACAGCGCTTTGTCAATCCGCTGTTGGATGAAGGCCTCCTCCCAAAGATGTTACCGGTCATGGGGCTTGTATGACCATACTTCATCATGCCAGTCAGTGCGGGCTGATGAAGGCGACGGAGGGGGGGAGAGTACACGGAGACTCATTCAGACGTCACTGATGTTAGCCGCGGCTGGGAGTCAAACGCAGATCTCGAAGAGTCCACCGGGGCATTGCTTACAAGCGTCAACTTTGAGCAAAACAGGTCCGCGAATGTTTGCTCCAACAACGGGCCCCCATTTCATGTGTGGGTGAAATAACCGTGGATAATCATCAACAATCATGAAATATAACTAAACCTCTTAAATAAACGCCTCATTTGCGCCTAATGTTTGAGCAATTTTACAGTGAACGGCAAGATGCAATGAAAAGCAAACTTGCCACATCAAAGCAAAACAATCTTCAGTGTTACACCGAGGGGCAATATTAATAGAATTATAAATGCACAGTTACTGTTATGGAAACCTCCAACTCCGCAGTGATCGCTCCGAGATGGGAGCAACGAGATGACGTCGCGCAGAGGAAACGGGATTGGATCGTGACATCGCAGGACGAAGAGGGAGGTCTTCATCCAGCAGCGCAACGACCGTGACTCCCGATGATTGTACTACGCATAAATTGCTTACTGACGCATGTGATGAGTTTTTGTTAAGCGTACCTCTTGGCTGAACAGTGCAAAGGTGAGCAAGACTCTCCCATGTTGGAACCAACCATTGACCTTTGTGTCAAGTCTATTTTACATCCCTTAAAAAATGAAATTCGCTGACCTTTGACATTCGAGGAAGATTTGTTTTTTTGTTCATGACATTGCATGGAGTTCACCAATTTCAATGATTACAACAAAGCATGTTGTGGCTCCACTGCATCGTATGCATGTGGACATTTTTTTTCGCACAGTACGTAGCCAACCGCGGTAAATCGGAGACACGAGCTTAATCATAATTAAGTCTAACAGTGAATTAACAAGTCTTCTAAATTAGCTACTTAGAGGCCATTTCTCACTGGGTCTGTGGACATTTGATGAACCATTAAAATGCAGGGTCAAAATTAGATTTTTTTAAAAATCACGAATCTTTTACATCGTGTGCATTGCGCTGCCTCGAGGGGCTGTGGGGGGTTACGCGATTCTAAACTAAACCACGAATTAAAATATATTTTATTTGACCAGGTAAGGCCCACCGAGCTACACAGCTCTTTTTCAGAAGTGACCTTATCATCACGTGGACATTTACAGCAGCCAAATACTCTTAAACGACACGTTCCTAAATGTGGAGGGAAAAACCGGAGGACCCGAAGAAAAATCCACTCGATGATCAATATACAGCAGGTGTCAGGGTCGCACACGGTTCGAGAAGACGTATCGCGAACCGCTAACATTTTTTGACAACTTGCACGAGGACTTCTCCCGAGCGTCAGGGAAGAAAGAGAAACAAACCTTCTCTATGTTCGGGGCCGGATGCGAGGAGGAGGGGGAGGGGGTAGTGGCGCGCGTGTGAAAGAAAAAAACGTGAAAATAAAAGCGGGGCAGTTTTCGACGCTCAAATTGTAACGGTTGGGTGAGAGACCGACCTTGAGAAGCCGTGGTCACCACCGCGATGGGAGGTGGCGCATTGCCACTCTCGGCCCCAGACCGGCGGTGCCCGAGCGCCCCAGCTCTCCCGACTCAGGCCGACTGCAAAACAACGACACAACGGCACATGCCACGCGAAGAGTAAAACCCGTTAACAACAACAACAATAACAAAAAGAAACACAAACAAGATAGCTTGGAAATCCAGTCCGTTGAGTGAGCGGCCAGCAGAACTTCAAGCTGGAAGCAGTTGTCACTCTCTTTTGGGTCGTCTCAACTGCAGAGCGAGGCCCTGCCTGCTACGAGTTCCATCCAATGGTGGGCGGCGATGGGTAAATTGACACGACGTTGCCGCCGGGAGTCGTGGCTGCGAGGTCAGGTGACAAACGTTCAGAACCTACTGTCGTCAATCCACCACTGGACGAAGGACCCCCCCCCCCCCCCACTGCTGTTGTCGGTCACGGGGGGCCTGTTTGACCATACTTCCTCATTCTGGTCCGTTTGGGTTGATTGAGCAGGAAGGGTGGGGGGGGGTTGGTTCAGGACTGGTTCAAAGATTGCTCGCGACTGATATTAGCCGTGGCTAGCTTTGTAGGGTTGGACCGATTACATACCAGGATACATTTTTGTAATGCTTTCCTTGGCATCAATTAGTAATAAGACGAAGTCCAGGGCAAATTCTCGAAATGATCGTGAACGCAGTATTATGTAAAAATTTACAACAACAACAAAGATAAAGGTGCAGCCGTGCAATTTCTTGCTATTGTCACCGCTGGCAGAAGGGCGACCACGAGTGGGGGAGCTCTCTAGAGATCCCTCCCCACCACCGCCACGCCCCAAGAGTGTATTTCACCATCTCTTGTACACAATGAAGTGGGATGACTACCCACACTTTAACCCACCGCATGTTGTGACCTGCTTGATCGGCCAAATCTGCGTTAACCACGCGTACTTGTGGTGAACATGCAAACAAAACAAGCTTTGATAATTCTATATGCATTGTCTTGGAAACTGATTGGTCTACACCAAACAGCCTTCTTTAGGGCCCAGTCTCACCAGTGTCAGACCGGGGAACGCCTTTTGGCTTGCAAAATGTTTCTATTTGGTGTTCGAACATCATAACACCTCCTGTTTAATTGCCAGAAAAGGTTTAAACCCTATTTTTATTTTTTTCTACTTTGATACTGGCAAAAAAGGTTCTTACTGCTGGGTGAATAGAGATCAGGGGGGGTGGGGGGAATAAACTTGGCATAATTTCAACTGCCACGCCAGGAGAACAAACCGATTTAAAAATCCGTTTCACATTTTCCTTGTTTGATGGCGATGTACCTCCTTAAAAAAAATCTAACTTGGAAATAAAGGTACAGCTTTATATAACCGTAACGTTTAATGACGTTCTTGTAATTTGCGATACAGTATGTTCTATATATAAGCTATCATGTTATTAAGTATTTCTGTGGGTTGTCCTATTCAGAATGAACGATTAATGCCAACCTAAGAATTGGATTTACCCTTTCTGGCAATAAAACAGGTGTTAAGATGTGAAAACACCGGAGCATGTTTTTGTTTGCATGTTCACTATAAGTATGTGTGGTTAATGCAGACATGCTTCCTTGCAAAAGGTTTCTTTTTGGTGTTTAAACATGTTAACACCTGTTTTATTGCTAGGAAGGGTGAAACCAATTTTTCTATTTTGATACTGGCAAGACAGGTCCCATGATGTTAATGCCAATCTATTGGCATGAACTGCTCAAGCCAAGCTATTGATGCGTTGAGATTTGCTTTGCTTTTGTGCTGGTCGCCTTTCGCCGTTCTCTGGCCGACCACCGGCGGTGAGACAAGGCCACGAGGGAAGTGGTCTCTGGTGCAGGCCAAACAGTTTAAAGAACAATGCATACTTTTTTTTCGAAGCATGTTTGTTTGGATGTCTTACCACAAAAGCATGTGTGGTGAAAGCCTGCGTGGTGTTTGAGTATCTGAACACCTCCTGTGTTATTGCCTGAAAGGATAAAACCTATTATTTTGTCGTCGTGTTGAAGGTGCATATTCTTTGCTCACAGTCCTGTACTTTAAACGTCAATTCAGTCAAGTACACTGACTTTGTGGTGTTTACAAACGCACTCGGACATGGTGACCTGGCCACAAATGATAGTTCAACGAAGAGGCTTATCACGTGAAAATGTATAGCAGCCAAATGCTCGAAACGCATGCTGATTCTAAATGTGGAGGGAAAAACCGGAGCACCCGGAAAACATTCCATGTGACTGCAGGGAGAGAGAACATGCAAGCTTCAAATATACAACAGGCGTTAGTGTCTGGATCGAACCCACGACCTCCTGGAAATATCAGGCGAGGGAGTTAACATCTCGTCACCGAGGTGCCGCAACATCGCATGGCAACCAACATGCAAATGCTGGCCCATTACAAGGTTGAGGAGCGAGACGCTTTGAACGCGTGGGTTTTTTCGTCACGCGCAAAGACTGGCCTTGTTCTTTCATTTGATTCACTCAAGCATGATACACAGTTCCGGCACTTGCGCTGGTGGAACAATTTAAATAAATTATTTTACAAGAGCTATTTGATAAACACAGGCGCATCAATTAGGGTTCCAATTTGGCAATTGCAAAGCGAAAGTAAAAAAGTTGGAAATGATAACTCTCGCTAAATGTAATTTAATTGCACGGCGAAAGCCTTCATTAAATCGCGACTGAGCGACAATGACCCCAAGTTGGAACAATTTCAAAATTTCCATTTCAGAAAATATAATACCGTGCTTTCAAAGATATATGCTGCTTTAAACGTAATTTAGGATCAGGCTGTCTGCTGTCATAATTACAGCAATTAGGATTGCATTTCATCAGGTAACATTCTCATGGGAAGGGTGGCACAATAGTGACGTTTTTTTCTTTATTTGTCAGTACGGCCACCCTGAGTGATGTTGTGCGTTGGGGGGTAAAACGTCAACATACGAGTTGAGGAAATGTTGAAAACAACTTCAAGATCGAGACGTCTTTGTGGCCACCACCAGTGATGGCACCACCCACAACCTCCTCACCACAGCCGGTGATGGCACCACCCACACCTCCTCACCACAGCCGGTGATGGCACCACCCACACCTCCTCACCAAAGCTGGTGATGGCATCACCGACACGTCCTCACCACAGCCGGTGATGGCACCACCCACACCTCCTCACCACAGCCGGTGATGGCACCTACACCTCTCCACCGCCGTGATGGCACCACCCACACCTCCTCACCAAGCCGGTGATGGCATCACCACACTCCTCACCACAGCCGGTGATGGCACCACCACACCTCCTCACCAAAGCCGGTGATGGCACCACCCACACCTCCTCACCACAGCCGGTGATGGCACCACCCACACCTCCTCACCACAGCCGGTGATGGCACCACCCACACCTCCTCACCAAAGCCGGTGATGGCATCACCTCACCTCCTCACCACAGCCGGTGATGGCATCACCCACACTCCTCACACAGCCGGTGATGGCACCACACACCTCCTCACCAAAGCCGGTGATGGCACCACCCACACTCCTCACCACAGCCGGTGATGGCACCACATCACAGCCGGTGATGGCACCACCCAACCTCCTCACCACAGCCGGTGATGGCATCACCACACCTCACCAAGGTGATGGCATCACCACACACCTCCTCACCACAGCGGTGATGGCATCACCCACACGTCCTACCACAGCCGGTGATGGCACAACCCACTCCACCCCTTGCACCCAACCTCACCAAGCCGGTGATGGCACCACCCACACCTCACCAAAGCCGTGATGGCACCACCCACACCTCACCAAAGCCGGTGATGGCATCACCCACACCTCCTCACCCCAGCCGGTGATGGCACCACCCACACCTCCTCACCAAAGCCGGTGATGGCATCACCGACACGTCCTCACCAAAGCCGGTGATGGCATCACCCACACCTCCTCACCACAGCCGGTGATGGCACCACCCACACCTCCTCACCAAAGCCGGTGATGGCATCACCGACACGTCCTCACCAAAGCCGGTGATGGCACCACCCACACCTCCTCACCAAAGCCGGTGATGGCATCACCGACACGTCCTCACCAAAGCCGGTGATGGCACCACCCACACGTCCTCACCACAGCCGGTGATGGCATCACCCACACCTCCTCACCAAAGCCGGTGATGGCACCACCCACACCTCCTCACCACAGCCGGTGATGGCACCACCCACACCTCCTCACCAAAGCCGGTGATGGCACCACCCACACCTCCTCACCACAGCCGGTGATGGCATCACCCACACCTCCTCACCACAGCCGGTGATGGCACCACCCACACCTCACCAAAGCCGGTGATGGCATCACCCTCACCTCCTCACCACAGCCGGTGATGGCATCACCCACACCTCCTCACCACAGCCGGTGATGGCATCACCGACACGTCCTCACCACAGCCGGTGATGGCACCACCCACACCTCACCAAAGCCGGTGATGGCATCACCCTCACCTCCTCACCACAGCCGGTGATGGCATCACCCACACCTCCTCACCACAGCCGGTGATGGCACCACCCACACCTCCTCACCAACGCTGCTACTGTGGCACAAGGAGGCACGCGACCTCCACAATCTGGCCCGACGGTCTCCCACCATCTGCTGGCTCATCCTAGGCCTTCCCGCGCCCCGCGGTCGCCAATGCCTGCACAATCCTCCCTCCCCCTACACAGCCTCCTGCTACCTACAAAGCATCACTTGGCGTCAAGGCTTATTTTTGAGGAATGAAACCTGCACGGTTGGCTACGTTCGGTGCGAAAGAAGTTCAACAATACCTGCATACATAATTGCCTGGACGATTCCTTTATGATAATGATTATTATTATTATTCGTCCATGTAGGAGTTAAACTGGATAGTCAGGAGAAAAAAACATCCTTACTTACGAGAAAATACCACTGAAAACTCAGCAACTCTGCACACATTAAATCATTTAAAATAATGAAGGTTCACGGCGGCTTTATAAATCCACTAAGGCCTCCCTATGGCACGTCACTGTTGGGGGGTTATTTGACCATGCTTCACCGCGCTGTGTCGGTGCAAGCT